TCGACGAGTCGGTCCCCTACTACCGCCTCTTCCCCTACCGCACTCCGTCCCTCCCCCCGCCACCGCTCTTCCTTGTACCAGGTCCCCCCCCGGTAGACCCCCTCCCCCCTCAGGGTCCTGCCCCTTCAGGTGTGTCCCAGGTAGACGCTGTTGAGCATGTCGAGGTCGCTGGTGACTCTGGTGCTGCTGAGGGTGCTGAGCCTGGGAGTGCTGACTCTGGGGGTGCTGAGCGTGTGGGTGCTACGCCTGGGGGTACTGAGCCTGAGGGTACTACGACTGGGGATGCTGAGCCTGGGGGTGCTGAGTCTGGGGGTGCTACGCCTGGGGGTGCTGATCCTGGGGGTGCTGAGCCTGGGGGTGCTACGCCTGGGGGTGCGGAGCCTGAGGGAGCTGGGCCTACTGGTGCTGTGCCTGGCGGTTCTCCGGGTGCTTCTTCTCGCCGGGAGCCACTCTCTCCACAGGAGCTGCGTGAGTGGTTTGCCCGGCGCTGGAGGCGAGCGGCTGGAGCTGGAGGAGCTGCGGGTACTGGAGTTTCTGTTGCTGCTGAGGGAGCTGGTGCCACGGGTCCCGGAGGTGCTCGTACTGGGCGTACTGGAGCTGCTGGACCTGCGGGTACTTCTGGAGCTGGAGCTGCTGCGGGTGTTGGCGCGGAGGCTACTGCTGTCGGTCCTGGAGGCGGTCCTGCTGGGGGTACTGCTGGTGCTGCTGGGGGTACTGGAGCTGGAGCTGCTACTGGTGCTGGTGCTGCCACAGGGGGTGCTGGTGCTGTCCCTACTGTGTCTGGAGTCGCCGCGCGGCCTCGGCCGTACTTCGTTCCGCTCCTTCAGCAGGTTCTTGGTCTCCCGTCTTCTACTGGTCCTCCTCCTCCCTTAGAGTGTCCACAGCCTGTCCCGTCGCAGTTACAGTTACAACCGGCCTCCCCACTGCCTGCTCCGTCTCCCTACACTGGTCCTACTGGAGGTCTTGCTGAGCGTCGTGAGCCTGCGTCTCGCCCTGCGTCGCCTGTCCGTGCTGCTCGCACTAGTGGCCGTGGTTCGCGTCAGCGTCCTCTTCCTGTCCCTGGCACGCACCGGATGTCTCTGCGTCCGTCCACTGCTCCTCTGCGTGCCCCTTTGCCTTCTCCTCCTGAGTCTTCTCTTCCCGCTCCTGCCGACCCGGAGTCGGACTCTCTTCGTGCTGCCAGTCCTACTGTCACGCGTCTCCTTGCTACTGTTGTAACTGACCCTTCCTTTGAGTCCACTGCTGCGTCTGCCCTAGTTGCTGAGCTCGTCGACTTTGCTGCTCGCTGTCGCCTAGACTACGTCGCCAGTCTTGTTGCTGAGTCTTAGTCTGTCTGTCCTCCGTCCGTCGGGGGTGAGTGTGCCCTTGGCACGGACGTCCTTGAGGACAGGCAGGAGGAGTTCCAGTGCTTGGCCGCTGCTTCACCTCATCTCGTGTCCGTACTGCTTACCCCTGAGGGAGACCCGGATGCACTTGACATCCCGACTCCGCGCTCTTACGCGGAGGCGATAGAGGGTCCCTACTCCTCTCAGTGGCAGGCAGCTATGGACGCAGAGATGGCTTCCTGGAAGTCCACAGGCACCTACGTTGACGCTGTTCCCCCTCCTGGGGCGAACATCGTCAGTGGCATGTGGATTTTCAGGGTGAAGCGACCGCCGGGTTCTCCGCCTGTCTTCAAGGCGCGTTACGTGGCTCGTGGCTTCAGTCAGCGGCAGGGAGTTGACTACTTTCAGACCTTCTCTCCCACCCCGAAGATGACCACTCTTCGGGTACTGCTGCACGTAGCTGCTCACCGTGACTACGAGCTACACTCTCTTGACTTCAGCACTGCTTTCTTGCAGGGCAGCCTGCACGAGGAGATCTGGCTGCGTCGCCCACCTGGTTTCACTGGGTCTTCTCCTCCTGGCACCCAGTGGAGCCTACGGCGGCCAATCTACGGTCTCCGCCAGGCACCGCGTGAGTGGCACGACACACTGAGGACTACACTTGCGGCTCTTGGGTTTGCTCCCTCTACTGCCGACCCGTCGCTGTTTCTGCGCACCGACACTTCTTTGCCGCCGTTCTATATCCTCGTGTACGTCGACGACTTGGTCTTTGCCACAGCTGACACTGCTGGACTCGCCCACGTGAAGTCCGAGCTGCAGAAGAGACACACGTGCACTGACCTGGGTGAACTGTGCAGCTACCTTGGCTTGCAGATCACTCGGGACAGAGCACGCCGCACCATTACCCTGACTCAGTCACACATGGTGCAGCAGGTCCTTCAGCGCTTCGGCTTCACGTACTCCTCGCCTCAGGCCACTCCTCTGCCTACTCGCCACTCGCTCTCAGCTCTGCCTTCGGATGAGTCCGTAGAGTCGAGTGGCCCGTACCCAGAGCTTGTTGGCTGCCTCATGTACCTGATGACCTGCACACGACCTGACCTTGCATACCCTCTTAGCATTCTCGCACGCTATGTTGCTCCTGGGAGACACAGACCGGAGCACATGGCTGCAGCGAAGAGGGTGTTGCGCTACTTGTGCAGTACGTCGGGCATGGGGCTTGTGCTTGGAGGGCAGAGTCCAGTGGTCCTTACTGGGCACGCAGACGCTTCTTGGGCTGACGACCAGGCTACGCAGCGGTCGTCACAGGGTTACACCTTCAGCCTTGGTTCCGGCTCTGTTTCGTGGCGGGCTACTCGCTCGTCTTCTGTTCTCGGCTCCAGTTGTGAGGCTGAGATCTACGCAGGAGCCATGGCTGCAGAGGAGCTTCGCTGGCTCACCTACCTGCTGACTGACCTCGGAGAGCCGCCTCGTTCTCCTCCAGTGCTGTACGTAGACAACAAGGCCATGCTGGCCTTGTGTCGGGAGCAGCGACTGGAGCACAGAACGAAGCACATTGCTCTCCGCTACTTTCTTGCTCGTGAGCTGCAGCAGCGTGGTCAGCTGCGTCTTGCGTACGTGGCCTCTGAGGCCAACACTGCTGATATCTTCACCAAGGCGCTTGCGCCTTGTGACCATCAGCGCTTCTGTACTCAGCTGGGCCTTGTGCCTACCTTGCCTCACTTGCTCACCTCTTGACCTTGCTTGTACTGTTACATATATATATACCTGCTCTTGCTTGTCTAGCCTTTTTATATATATGTACTCCTGCATGTGAACTGGCCTTGTGGCCTTGAACTTGTGCTCGGAATGTGTGGTGACTTTGTGATCCACCCTGAGCTTGCTTTGCTTTGCTTTGCTTGACTGGTCTTGTGACCCCTTGTTCTCCCCCACTTTGCCTATGGGGGTGTGTCAGAACATCATAGCTCATGCATATTGTGTAGGCTATAGTGGGGTAGCCCATAAGGGGTACAACCCAATTAGGGTTAGTACTTGTACCCAATTCATTCATAGTTCATCCATTCCTTGTTTCTTCTCACAGCAGCGGATTTCGAGCACCAGCAGCAAATCTCGAAGGAAAGCAGCTGATCTCGCAGCAGGAGCAGATCGCGCAGCTACACCAGCAGATCTCGCGCGCCAGCAGCAAAATCTAGCGCGTCAGCAGCAGAATCTCGCGCGCCTGGAGCAAATCTCGAGCGCCAGCAGCAAACCTCCGCGCCAGCAGCAGATCTCCGCGCCAGCAGCAAATCTCGCACGCCAGTAGCAGAATCTAGCGTTCCAGCAGCAGAAATTCGCGCGCTAGGAGCAAATCTCGGGCTCCAGCAGCAAACCTCCAGCAGCATATCTCCGCGTCAGCAGGAAATCTCGCGCGCAAGCAGCGATTCGCGAGCGCCAGCAGCAATCATGAGCACCAGCAGCAAATCTCGAAGCTGCAGCAGCAAATCGTGAGCACCAGCAGCAAATCTCGAAGCTGCAGCAGCAAATCGTGAGCACCAGCAGCAAATCTCGAGGCTGCAGCAGCAAATCGTGAGCAAAGCAGCAGATCGCGAGCACCGGCAGCAGATTTCGTAACAGGAGAAGATCGCGAGCACCGACCTCAGATCGCGCAGCGACAGTACCAGATCTCGTAGCGGCAGCACCAGATCGCGTGGGAGGAACGGCAGGCCGCACGTCAACACTAATGACAGTGCGTGAGAAGCAGCGGTTGCATAGCATCAGCAATAGCAGGGTCTCGTAACATCAGCAGCAGCCCCAAGGCGCAGACAGCAATAGCATGCCGAAATCTCGCCATTCGCACCAGCGTCTCACTACTAACGTAATTCGCGATTTGCCCTGCACAAGTACTGTAAACTCGCCACCGCATCAACCTCAAGAAGTGACGATCTCGTCATGTGGAGTGAAACGAGGGTCAGGATAATCTTAGTAGCAATGGCGGATGAGTAGTAGTAAAGGGTGCAAGGTTTAGGTAGGTGTGCTGTTCTAAACTAGATCTATAAATGATTTTTGGACTAGGTGGCAGGTCCGTAAACCTGCCACAATATAAGGAGCGATAGACTCCTTACTGCATTCTCCTTTACGTGTATTGTCATAATCTTTAAATTTTGAAATTTATTTCATAATTTTTCATATGACATGACATTTGAGAGGGGCTTATAATGAAGGATTCTTTTAGGCGCTTAGATCTGGGGTTTCTAATTGTACTATTCTTTACGCTTAGATATACTTTATATGATATGCACAGTCCACTTTCCAAGGTGTTCACTACACACATCTGTGCTCAATCAGACTCATGACTCACAATACAGTATCTCAAACCTATCCTATATGACAATGTCATTGACCAGCATGGCTTGTACAGCAACAGAATCTGTCAAGCAACGTGCACACAATTGCAACCGACAGTCATTCTATGGTAACCAAAACATTTAGAACTTCCAACCCGTAGCCACTGCAATACCCTGACAAATCCCCCAGCAAAATCCCAACAGCCCCTCAGAATAGAACAGCCAACTTCAACGGAAGCACGCTGGCGGTGCTGCCACTTGACTTGTGTCCTCACAGTGCACTTGGTACCGGTACTGTGATTTTGATATTGTCACTGACTTGACTCTCCTGTTGTTTCATGTTTGACACACTGCTCTACGCAAAGAGCAGAGAGGTGAGGGCAACAGCAATGGTAGTGGCCAAGACAGTGACTGGTGAAGCGAGAGAACCTGGTAAGGGGAGGACAAGGTGGGAGTCACATGAGAGCAATAGAAAACCATTTGTGGAAGCAAAAGAAGGGTGGGAGAAGGGCATGTGATTGTCTCGGAAGAAAGGGGGAGGGGGGGGAGGGAGGGAGGGAAGGGGCGGGGGACGAGGGGAAGCAGGGAAGCGAGGGGTAACATGCTGAGATTACAGTTGCAAAAAACGACAACAGTAGAAGCGATCAACCCAAAGCAGAGAAACCAACTCAGAAGAAACATACCAGCAGGCTTAGGTGGTGGCGGTGGGGCAGAAGGGGAGGAGGGAGTAGGAGATGCTGGGGGGGTGCTTGGGCTGGGGGCGGGGCTGGGACTGGGGATGGGGCTGGGGGCGGGGCTGGGGCTGGGAGCACCTGACAAGTGGAGGGCAGGACGGAGTTGGGACAGCGGGAGTAGAGTCACATGAGAGAGCTAACAAACGAATAGTGGAAGTGATGTAAGAGATATTGTAGAATAACGGTGTCGGGGACATGGGCACGCGGCTGCCTGGGAAGAAAGAAAGGGGGCGGAAACAGGGAAACAGGAGAGAGGAAACGGGCTGAAATGAAAGCTGTGGGAAACGAGAGCAGCAGATATATCCAACACAATGAAGAACAAAGGCACAGAAAGCATCATGGCAGCAGGCTTGGCGGGTGGCGGTGAGGCTGCAGGGGAGGAGGGAGTACGGGAGGAGGGAGTAGGGGAGGAGGGAGTAGGAGATGCAGGGGGGTTGCTGGGGCTGGGAGAAGGATGAGCAGCAACAAAGCTGATGGTGTCAATTGTTGCTGTTTTGAATGCGTTCAATTGAGCAGTGGGCGTCGGAGTGGGCATGACAAAGGTGAAGGTGAGCAGTGAGTGTGCCGTTGTTGTGGACGGTGAAGTCGAGACCTCTAGCGGAATCAACCACCAGGGGGCTAAGTATGAGGAAGGCATAGCTGCTTTCGGAATACAGCGAGCTAACTGTCGCCGCGCACCACCGAACCGCCGAACAGGATTGGCAACTCGCTTGACGGGCTTGCCAGAGGAGTCCACAGCAGTGCCGTTGGGCAACAGAATGTAGTCCTTGCCGAAAGGCACACGGCTGTTGGGGTTTACACCCCGCCATTGCCCGTGCTTCCGCCATTGCCCGTGCATCAGCCCGTGCCTGTGCTCCCATGCCAGTGCCTCCGCCCATGCCCGTGCTTCCACCCGTGCCCGTGCCCGTGCCCGTGCCCCCGCGAGTACCTGTGCTCCCGCCGCCGCGGGTGCCGTTCGATGGCTTGAATCTGAGGCGCGTTCGCAGCACGACGCCGTTAGAACCGAGGAACGTGCCGTTCGACCAGCCCGTGATGTCGCCGGCAGTGAACGTCTTCGCGGCGTCGTCCTCAATCCAAGGGATCACATTGTTTGTCGCGGCGTCCCGCGCGACGCCGTCAATGCCGAACAGCTTCGTCTTCGCGATTTGCACGTAGCTGGCCTTGCCGGCGACCGCTATAGTCACACCAGGCGCGACGATGGTCCCATTCGGGTACCACGTGTACTTGCCCTCAACCGTGAGCGAACCGTCGGGGTTTTTCTTTGGCTTGACGATGGCTTTGGTTTCGTTGTCGACGATGGTCTTGCCGTGGATGGTGTAATTGTCGACCGTCAGGCTGCGGTCCGCGTTGCTGATAATGAGCGTGCCGTGCTTCGTTGTGGTCACGGCGGACGTCGAGATGGTGACCGCGAGCAGCAGCAGCGCGAGTGTGAGGTACTGGCGCTCCATGGTCGTTATCGCCGCAGGCAGCAGGTGAGCGCGACGGAGGAGAGAGTTGAGCTATGCCACAGCGTGCGCGAAAGATGCCGCGCTGGCTCACATAAATGTCCGAAGTAGCAAAATCCTTGCCAATTCTAAAATCGCCTGGAGTTGATATGGGTGGACATGGAAAAGTCAGCGAGGAGAGCACGACCGACGCAAGCAGTGCAGAGGTCGAAGCTGCATGCCAGTTCCTTCCGACTCTTCTTGCGCTGCCCCGGCGGAATGCTTCTTCCGCTCGCTCGGTCCTCCTGGACGAGCAGGTGCGCGGTATGCGCCATCCACCACACCACACAGAGCACGAAATCAAAGTCCCTGTCCGAAGTTGGGTTTGGTTTGGTGGTGGTGCGCCGCCTCCCCTAGGGCGATTCGTGGATATAGAGTGGTCCGGCTGGTGCGTGATGATTCGCCGCGACGACAGGAATCCGATCGTCCCAGTCGTGGCGGTTATTTATTGGCTGACGTAAAGTCATATTTGGAGTTGCAAGATTCACTGGCTGCAATTTTTTGCGGCGGTACAAGCCTCGTAAATGGGGGTGAGGAGGGGTGGGTGGTGGTTGGGGGGGACCATGAGTTTGTGGCGGCCAGGAGTGCGCATCGAGCACCCAAGCCTGGTCTTGACGACCTGAGCATGATTGGCCACTTCCCTGCTAGGTAAAGGTAAGGGCGCGTGTCTTTTGGTGTAGACTGTCAAAGTTCGAGCCTAACACCGCTTTGTACCGTGGCGACAATTCTACCGACTGTATCTTACCGTCTACAACCTTTCTAGAAGTTCGAACTTTGGCAATAGTTCGACCTTAAAGGCCACACCCCGAATTACACAACGAAGTCAACGAAAAAAATGTAGGTTCGGGAAACCCCAGAGACAGGTTCGGTGGGGAAATCGAGAACCAATCGCGTCAAAAACCCACTCAAAACCCTCGACCAATCACACGAAAGTGGTGACAGTTTTGGGGCCGACACGGTAATTCTGGATGTGTCCTTTAAGGACACGCGTCCTAAAGGTAAAGGTTATGGGGAAACCCTCTTGGTATTACCCCGGCTGTCGGTCGTAACCCGCCTACCCATTTGTTTACACGCCTCGCTGGGTATCGAGGTTGTTGTATCCACTCCCAGATGAGCACCTGTGTAACCCCCTTCTAGGGCTGGCAGAACACGCCGCAGGGGGGATTTGATCCCGGAACCTCATCTTTCGGAAGTGAACCAGCTAACTAGCTGGGCCACTTCATGATGGCCACTTCCCTACTAATTTTCGGCACTAGTTTAGGGGTTGTTGTTGATTGATTTTTGCGGGGTTTCATATATTCGAAAATTATGACCGCGAATTTATATGACCTGAGGAGATTAACTCTACAACGGTGGGAGCTAGACTGCAGAGTAGGCACGAGTTGTAGGAGTGATCGTAGCTCTGTCTGTGTTCTCTAGGACTTGTGTTTTCACAGGGCAAAACAGCAAGAGTTTCACTAAGGAAAAGTTGAGAATACAGAGTTCAGAATGAGAAAGCAATGGCAAAGATTTACTACATCACATGCAAGGTTTGCTAGCACTCAGGCAAGTTGATCGCCAGCACGACAAAGTCGTCGACCTGCCAACGGAGCAAGTTTGCGGTCCGCCAACGCAGCTCGTACTCGACTTGCCAACGCTGCAGATGGCGGCCTGCCAACGCAGCATCCGCGCGGCTTGCCAACATTGCATCCGCAGGTGATTGTAAGCACATGTGCAAGCACCTACTTCGCAGGTGCTTGTAGACAGTTATGCACGACGTGCACTGTCACACACATTGCGCAGGTTGTCAGCCACATGCTGACGGTTGCACCTGATGAGCGATGTCGACCACGTGCTGCCACGTCGGTCGACTTCGCCACAGCAACCTCAACGACGTTCGCGACCCTCCGCAGAACCTCGTCGAGCAGGTAACCTGGTCAACCAGGTAAAGTCCTTGACAACCCTGCAGGATGATGACCTTCGTCATCACCGGTTGACGACCTTCGTCGTCGCGGGTTGACGACCTTCGTCGTCGCGGGTTGACGACCTTCGTCGTCGCGGGTCGACGACCTTTGTCGAACACCTTTGTCGAACACCTCGGTCGACATTTCAAAATGTCAGCTCTTGATTGGTCGAAATTAAGGCACATTCGAATTTCTGGCCAAAATTCGCCTGTGCAGTCTCAAGGGTGCGCAGGGTCAGACGCGACCCTGCGCAGACGAACACCCGCGAACCTCTGTACGAGCTGCGCCACTTGTACATGTGCACGAGACATCTGTGTTGCACTCGCGGATGCTTCAGTTACTCTTGCATGGATTCCCTAGTACACCTCATGTACAGGCAACCCTTGCCTGCAGAAAGTCGGCTGCACCTCCCGCACACCCGACCACGAAGTCAGTTTTGCCTATGCGAGGGCGGGGCCAAATTCCTTCAACATGACCGTATATGATTGGACGCGCAATGTCGAAACATGCACGCGCATAAAACAGACCAATCACGCACGGTCATTTAATGTAGCTCTTGTTGACGGCCGTGCATTTCAGTATATGATCGGGGAATCATATGACTGTGCTCGGATTGGTCATTCGGCGAAATTTTCGGGTGGGGAATACTACGCAACGCTTGCGCGGGATGAGACGAGTACGTGAGAGGAATTTCAGGGCTAAATTCCTTGTAGGGTAATGCGCTGGGAAAAAAAAGCCAGCAGGAATCCCCCGTGCCGACATGTTATGTCAGCCTCCCAGAAGGGAGTTCGTACGGCTCACTCTGGGAGTGGATATACCTCAACCTCGTTGACCCAGCGAGTCTAAACAATTGGGGAGGCGGGTTACGACTGACAGCCAGATGTGGGTAACACCCAGAGAGGTTTCCCCCCCTCCTTCCTTTACCTTTACCCCTTGCGTGGCCACTCGAGTAATTATCACCAAATTTGGTGGCCACTCGAGTAATTCGAGGCCACGCGAGCAAGGCTGAATCACCGAACAGGGTTCAGGAGCAATTCTCTCGTTGGTGTGGGTGGACATGGATGGGCTAGCGGGGAGAGGACAACCAAGCGGTCCAGAGATGCGACTCTTCTTGCGCTGCCCCGGCGGAATGCTTCTTCCGCTCGGTCCTCCCCGGCGAACGGGTGTGCGGGATGCGCCCCATCCACCACACAGCACGAAATCCAAGTCCTTTCCATTCCGTGATTTGGGTTGGGTTCGGTGGTGGTGCGCCGCCGCCTCCCCTAGGGCGATTCGTGGATAGGGTGGTCCGGCTGGGGCGTGATGATTCGCCACGACGTTAGGAAGGCGATTGTCTCAGTCGTGGCGGTTGTCTATTGGCTAGCGTCAAACTCGAATTTGCAGATGCAAGGCCAAGATTCACTGGCTGCGATATTTTGCGGCGTCTACAAACAAGACATCGCATGGGGTGAGGAGGGGGGGTGACTGTGTCAAACATTATATGTTTATATTGTGTAGGCTATAGTGGGTTTAGCCTTAGGGGGTACAGCTTTGTTAGGGTTTCCTACTTGTATCCCCCTCCTACCTAGTTTCATGCATTCTCGTTCTATTCTAGATTCTAACATGGTATCAGAGCTAGTAAATGAGTAACCAATATCACACAATAAAGAAGGCAACCAGACAAGGATACCTCACGCATCCTTGGCTCGCCACCAACTAGTTTAATAACTCAAACCACCTTGTCTTTCAGGGATTGCAGCAGTCAAGCCTTTACACCTGAGCGGTGCCTGCAGTGAAGTCTGGGTTCTCGCACTTGTAGGTTCCGTCAATTCCGATTCCGAAGCCCCTGGGGTCAGCAAATACATTCTCCAGCAACTGGTGGCGCTCCGGCAGTGGGCTCTCATCAGCAAACTCAACAGCATCCTCCACGACATCGTCAATCTTCTTCTCAATTGCCTTGAGGTCGGCCTCGGTGGCGAGCCCCGTCTCCAGGATGTGCTTCTTCAGCGCGATGATGGGGTCGCGAGCGGCATACTTAGCCTTCTCCTCAGGGGAGCGAAGCTCATCGGGGTCGGCCAGGGAGTGACCGCGGAAGCGGTACGTCTCGCACTCAATCAGCGTCGGGCCGTCGCCCCGCCTGGCGCGATCAATGGCCTCCAGTGCCACCTCGCGCACCTTGAGCACATCCATGCCGTCCACGTGGACTCCGGGCATGCCGAACGCGGGGCCCTTCTTCCAGATGGCGGGGTCCGACGTGGAGCGCAGGTGGCTCATGCCGATGGCCCACAGGTTGTTCTCCACCACGAAGATCACCGGAAGCTTCCAGAGCGCCGCCATGTTGAGGCACTCGTAGAAGGAGCCGTTGTTGCACGTGCCGTCGCCGAAGAACGCCACTGAAACCTGGTCCGCGTCTTGCTTGAGCACCTCCTTGTTGTACTTCACAGTGAACGCTGCACCGACAGCGACGGGGATGCCCTCGCCGATGACGCCGATGAACGTTGTACCACTCTCGGAGCCGCTGGGGAGAGGGCAGCTCCCGCCTAGGAGGGGAAGCACTAGCACCAGCTCCAGCAGTACTCCTGGCTCCAGAAGCACCTCTCCTGAGGCTGCAGTACTGTAAGTACCACTCACGCAGCTGCTGTGAGTCCTACTGTCACGCGTCTCCTGGCTACTGTTGTCACTGACCCTTCCTTTGAGTCCACTGCTGCGTCTGCCTTAGTTGCCGAGCTTGTCGACTTTGCTGCCACTTGTCGTCTAGACTACGCCGCTAGCCTAGTTGCTGAGTCTGAGTCTGTCTGTCCTCCGTCCGTCGGGGGTGAGTGTGCTCTTGGCACGGACGTCCTTGAGGACAGGCAGGAGGAGTTTGAGTGCTTTGCCGCTGCTTTACTTCATCTCGTGTCCATGCTAGTTGCCCCTGAGGGACACCCGGATGCACCAGACATCCCGACTCCGCGCTCTTACGCAGAGGCGATAGAGGGTCCCTACTCCTCTCAGTGGCAGACAGCCATGGACGCAGAGATGGCTTCCTGGAAGTCCACAGGCACCTACGTCGACGAGGTTCCCCCACCTGGGGCGAACATCGTCAGTGGCATGTGGATTTTCAGGGTGAAGCGGCCGCCGGGTTCTCCGCCTGTCTTCAAGGCGCGTTACGTTGCACGAGGCTTCAGTCAGCGAGAGGGAGTTGACTTCTTCCAGACCTTCTCCCCGACCCCGAAGATGACCACTCTTCGGGTTCTGCTGCACGTCGCCGCTCAGCGTGACTACGAGCTCCACTCTCTTGACTTCAGCACTGCTTTCTTGCAGGGCAGCCTGCACGAGGAGATCTGGCTGCGCCGCCCACCTGGCTTCACTGGGTCGTTCCCTCCTGGTACCCAGTGGAGCCTCCGGCGGCCAGTCTACGGTCTCCGACAGGCGCCACGTGAGTGGCACGACACACTGAGGACTACACTTGCGGCTCTTGGGTTCGCTCCTTCTACTGCTGACCCGTCGCTGTTTCTACGCACCGACACCTCGTTGCCGCCGTTCTACATCCTCGTGTACGTCGACGACTTGGTCTTTGCCACTGCTGACACTGCGGCACTCGCCCACGTGAAGTCGGAGCTGCAGAAGAGACACACGTGCACAGACCTGGGTGAACGGCGCAGCTACCTTGGCTTGCAGATCACTCGGGACAGAGCACGCCGCACCATTACCCTGACTCAGTCACACATGGTGCAGCAGGTCCTTCAGCGCTTCGGCTTCACGTACTCCTCGCCTCAGGCCACTCCTCTGCCTACTCGCCACTCGCTCTCAGCTCTGCCTTCGGATGAGTCTGTAGAGTCGAGTGGCCCGTACCCAGAGCTTGTTGGCTGCCTCATGTACCTGATGACCTGCACACGACCTGACCTTGCATACCCTCTTAGCATTCTCGCACGCTATGTTGCTCCTGGGAGACACAGACCGGAGCACATGGCTGCAGCGAAGAGGGTGTTGCGCTACTTGTGCAGTACGTCGGGCATGGGGCTTGTGCTTGGAGGGCAGAGTCCAGTGGTCCTTACTGGGCACGCAGACGCTTCTTGGGCTGACGACCAGGCTACGCAGCGGTCGTCACAGGGTTACACCTTCAGCCTTGGTTCCGGCTCTGTTTCGTGGCGGGCTACTCGCTCGTCTTCTGTTCTCGGCTCCAGTTGTGAGGCTGAGATCTACGCAGGAGCCATGGCTGCAGAGGAGCTTCGCTGGCTCACCTACCTGCTGACTGACCTCGGAGAGCCGCCTCGTTCTCCTCCAGTGCTGTACGTAGACAACAAGGCCATGCTGGCCTTGTGTCGGGAGCAGCGACTGGAGCACAGAACGAAGCACATTGCTCTCCGCTACTTTCTTGCTCGTGAGCTGCAGCAGCGTGGTCAGCTGCGTCTTGCGTACGTGGCCTCTGAGGCCAACACTGCTGATATCTTCACCAAGGCGCTTGCGCCTTGTGACCATCAGCGCTTCTGTACTCAGCTGGGCCTTGTGCCTACCTTGCCTCACTTGCTCACCTCTTGACCTTGCTTGTACTGTTACAAATATATATACCTGCTCTTGCTTGTCTAGCCTTTTTATATATATGTACTCCTGCATGTGAACTGGCCTTGTGGCCTTGAACTTGTGCTCGGAATGTGTGGTGACTTTGTGATCCACCCTGAGCTTGCTTTGCTTTGCTTTGCTTGACTGGTCTTGTGACCCCTTGTTCTCCCCCACTTTGCCTATGGGGGTGTGTCAGAACATCATAGCTCATGCATATTGTGTAGGCTATAGTGGGGTAGCCCATAAGGGGTACAACCCAATTAGGGTTAGTACTTGTACCCAATTCATTCATAGTTCATCCATTCCTTGTTTCTTCTCACAGCAGCGGATTTCGAGCACCAGCAGCAAATCTCGAGGGAAAGCAGCTGATCTCGCAGCAGGAGCAGATCGCGCAGCTACACCAGCAGATCTCGCGCGCCAGCAGCAAAATCTAGCGCGTCAGCAGCAGAATCTCGCGCGCCTGGAGCAAATCTCGAGCGCCAGCAGCAAACCTCCGCGCCAGCAGCAGATCTCCGCGCCAGCAGCAAATCTCGCACGCCAGTAGCAGAATCTAGCGTTCCAGCAGCAGAAATTCGCGCGCTAGGAGCAAATCTCGGGCTCCAGCAGCAAACCTCCAGCAGCATATCTCCGCGTCAGCAGGAAATCTCGCGCGCAAGCAGCGATTCGCGAGCGCCAGCAGCAATCATGAGCACCAGCAGCAAATCTCGAAGCTGCAGCAGCAAATCGTGAGCACCAGCAGCAAATCTCGAAGCTGCAGCAGCAAATCGTGAGCACCAGCAGCAAATCTCGAGGCTGCAGCAGCAAATCGTGAGCAAAGCAGCAGATCGCGAGCACCGGCAGCAGATTTCGTAACAGGAGAAGATCGCGAGCACCGACCTCAGATCGCGCAGCGACAGTACCAGATCTCGTAGCGGCAGCACCAGATCGCGTGGGAGGAACGGCAGGCCGCACGTCAACACTAATGACAGTGCGTGAGAAGCAGCGGTTGCATAGCATCAGCAATAGCAGGGTCTCGTAACATCAGCAGCAGCCCCAAGGCGCAGACAGCAATAGCATGCCGAAATCTCGCCATTCGCACCAGCGTCTCACTACTAACGTAATTCGCGATTTGCCCTGCACAAGTACTGTAAACTCGCCACCGCATCAACCTCAAGAAGTGACGATCTCGTCATGTGGAGTGAAACGAGGGTCAGGATAATCTTAGTAGCAATGGCGGATGAGTAGTAGTAAAGGGTGCAAGGTTTAGGTAGGTGTGCTGTTCTAAACTAGATCTATAAATGATTTTTGGACTAGGTGGCAGGTCCGTAAACCTGCCACAATATAAGGAGCGATAGACTCCTTACTGCATTCTCCTTTACGTGTATTGTCATAATCTTTAAATTTTGAAATTTATTTCATAATTTTTCATATGACATGACATTTGAGAGGGGCTTATAATGAAGGATTCTTTTAGGCGCTTAGATCTGGGGTTTCTAATTGTACTATTCTTTACGCTTAGATATACTTTATATGATATGCACAGTCCACTTTCCAAGGTGTTCACTACACACATCTGTGCTCAATCAGACTCATGACTCACAATACAGTATCTCAAACCTATCCTATATGACAATGTCATTGACCAGCATGGCTTGTACAGCAACAGAATCTGTCAAGCAACGTGCACACAATTGCAACCGACAGTCATTCTATGGTAACCAAAACATTTAGAACTTCCAACCCGTAGCCACTGCAATACCCTGACAAATCCCCCAGCAAAATCCCAACAGCCCCTCAGAATAGAACAGCCAACTTCAACGGAAGCACGCTGGCGGTGCTGCCACTTGACTTGTGTCCTCACAGTGCACTTGGTACCGGTACTGTGATTTTGATATTGTCACTGACTTGACTCTCCTGTTGTTTCATGTTTGACACACTGCTCTACGCAAAGAGCAGAGAGGTGAGGGCAACAGCAATGGTAGTGGCCAAGACAGTGACTGGTGAAGCGAGAGAACCTGGTAAGGGGAGGACAAGGTGGGAGTCACATGAGAGCAATAGAAAACCATTTGTGGAAGCAAAAGAAGGGTGGGAGAAGGGCATGTGATTGTCTCGGAAGAAAGGGGGAGGGGGGGGGAGGGAGGGAGGGAAGGGGCGGGGGACGAGGGGAAGCAGGGAAGCGAGGGGTAACATGCTGAGATTACAGTTGCAAAAAACGACAACAGTAGAAGCGATCAACCCAAAGCAGAGAAACCAACTCAGAAGAAACATACCAGCAGGCTTAGGTGGTGGCGGTGGGGCAGAAGGGGAGGAGGGAGTAGGAGATGCTGGGGGGGTGCTTGGGCTGGGGGCGGGGCTGGGACTGGGGATGGGGCTGGGGGCGGGGCTGGGGCTGGGAGCACCTGACAAGTGGAGGGCAGGACGGAGTTGGGACAGCGGGAGTAGAGTCACATGAGAGAGCTAACAAACGAATAGTGGAAGTGATGTAAGAGATATTGTAGAATAACGGTGTCGGGGACATGGGCACGCGGCTGCCTGGGAAGAAAGAAAGGGGGCGGAAACAGGGAAACAGGAGAGAGGAAACGGCTGAAATGAAAGCTGTGGGAAACGAGAGCAGCAGATATATCCAACACAATGAAGAACAAAGGCACAGAAAGCATCATGGCAGCAGGCTTGGCGGGTGGCGGTGAGGCTGCAGGGGAGGAGGGAGTACGGGAGGAGGGAGTAGGGGAGGAGGGAGTAGGAGATGCAGGGGGGTTGCTGGGGCTGGGAGAAGGATGAGCAGCAACAAAGCTGATGGTGTCAATTGTTGCTGTTTTGAATGCGTTCAATTGAGCAGTGGGCGTCGGAGTGGGCATGACAAAGGTGAAGGTGAGCAGTGAGTGTGCCGTTGTTGTGGACGGTGAAGTCGAGACCTCTAGCGGAATCAACCACCAGGGGGCTAAGTATGAGGAAGGCATAGCTGCTTTCGGAATACAGCGAGCTAACTGTCGCCGCGCACCACCGAACCGCCGAACAGGATTGGCAACTCGCTTGACGGGCTTGCCAGAGGAGTCCACAGCAGTGCCGTTGGGCAACAGAATGTAGTCCTTGCCGAAAGGCACACGGCTGTTGGGGTTTACACCCCGCCATTGCCCGTGCTTCCGCCATTGCCCGTGCATCAGCCCGTGCCTGTGCTCCCATGCCAGTGCCTCCGCCCATGCCCGTGCTTCCACCCGTGCCCGTGCCCGTGCCCGTGCCCCCGCGAGTACCTGTGCTCCCGCCGCCGCGGGTGCCGTTCGATGGCTTGAATCTGAGGCGCGTTCGCAGCACGACGCCGTTAGAACCGAGGAACGTGCCGTTCGACCAGCCCGTGATGTCGCCGGCAGTGAACG